AGGAGCTTTCTACCATGATTGAGGCATAGGTGATGACCGCTCATGATTTTGATTACTAGTCTAACCATTAGGTTGTCCATTATTTTGTATAGGTTGTTTATCTCGAGCCAATCTATGCTGAAGGGAATTCATGTTTTCTTTAGTCTATCTTATGACAATTGGTTAATGAGAGTTTATTCGATCAAAAAAGGATGTTGTCCATCTTTCCATTGTATATATTAGTTGCTGCCCATGGCATCTACTAAACCTCCTTATGGATTTATTGGTTGGGTAGAAGGGACAATCGAGGGTCCAGTTTCATGGCCCTGTCCAGTATGTTGGACATGCGTTGCATATTCTGAAGTGCTTGTCTGTTTAACCATTTGCGGAGGATCTGATGGGATAGGTGCATCCATTACATTATCCTCTGGGTTAGGCACTTTTACCTCACTTTCCACACCCTCTTCCAAGCATTCATTTTCTCCTCTTGCTCTACGTCTAGCCATTTTTTAATAGTCCCACTGGGCGTGTCAAAAATATATGTTGACTTTTTTGGCTTTCGAGGGTTAATAGTGTAAATTTAAGCGTGCCAGCAAGGATCAATTAGTCCTTATAGAATTTTAATTGCCAACCAATTATTAGACAATTGTGTTGAAGTTCTTTCAGCCTCAATAAAGAGGACTTTTACTGGTGGCTTGTTTTAGGAGAAATTGATAAGAAATGACAAGTACAGAACAATTTCAAAATCGAATTTCATTAAGTAAATAAAAACTTACAATGAAATGACCCAGCCTTGAAAATGTTTACAACAGTGACTACTTGAAACTACTTCTAGGAAATAAAGTGCAGTACAGGAATTGAAGTGCTGGAAATATAAAGAACTGGAAATGTAAAACTGGAAAGAAATACGAAGTAGATAGACTGGTTTCTAGATCTAAGTCTGGGTCTTTCATTCTGGGGCCTTTTCTCCTATTTATACTTTCGAATGGTAGTCGTCGAAGTGGGCTTCCAATCGTCGAAAAGTCCTCCCATGATCCCTGGTCATCTTCTCCCACTGTTAGTCTCCACTACGCCATTCTTGCAGTTAGGCTTCCCTCATGAATTTGAATTTGAATTTGTGAGTAACCATTAGGCCACGTCATTTTGCGCCTTCTAGTTGTTTCAATACTGTGTAAATCCATTATTACCAATATGAACTGCCACGTGTCTATTGTTGATTGAAAGCTTACATTAACTTCTCAAATTACCCTTTATGTGCCACGTGTTAAGTTGAGATTGACTTATACAAAATATGTAACCAACAGATTGTTAAATTATTTTTAGATAAAATAATAAAACAAATAAAAAAATACAAAAATATTAAACATTAATGTTCAAAAAATAAAATAAAATAAAAGGAATAAAACTATGATTTTTACTTAACAAAAAATACAAAAAATTAAACATTAATGTTAAAAAAAATAAAAAAATCTCAACATGTAAAAAATAAAAAAATAATAAATAATAAAAAAAAAAGTCCAGCGGACTATTTTCTAATACCAAGTCCCAAGCCTCCGTCTTAATCTCCTCCGTAAGGCCCATCTTAATTCGAAGGGGATTATGAATCCCCTCGCTATCTCCTAAAACAAATACACCATTAGTGTCACGACCCGAACCCGCCCCTATGGGTTAAGGACATGACCGGCCAGTAATCCTGTGATTACCTACGGCCTCAGACCGAAACAAGAAGAAGACTTGTCAGAGTAGAGGGGCCAAACGGAAGCAAAAATTAAAAACTTTGTCCATAGAGCCGTGCTTATATGCACATCAAACAAACCATATTCAGTTACGTTAATAACCCACATCGAAAGTACAGTTCCACAAAATTCATTACAGACAGGATCATCCAAAACGAGTCAACCTATGACAGACTATTTGCAGATATACATAAAGTCCTTGCCGGCAAGACAAATATATAATTACATAGCAAAAAGGCAAGGGTAGGTCTCAAGAGTGAGACGCAAGGCTGACTTCCGCAAAACTCGGATGTTTTCCTAGCAGACTTTACTGGGGCTGGGTTTGGACTTCCCTTGGCTCACCTACAAACACATGAATGAGCGTGAGCGATAGCCCAGTGAATAATATCAAACATGAAAGCTATATGACAATATGTAGAACAACATGCTCCAAACGGCCTTGGGCCCAATTCATACTTCTAATTAGCAAATATATATGACTATACGAAATGCAAATCAAGTAACTGTAGTTCCAACATTCTGGCCTTTGGCCCATTTGGGTTTCCATTTATGCACACATGCAAGGATGCTAATACACATGACCTAGAACTAGCAGCAGTAATTTTGGGCTTGAAGATTTGGAGGCACTACCTTTATGGTGAGAGATTCGAGGTATTCTCGGATCATAAGAGTTTGAAGTACCTGTTTACACAGAGAGACTTGAAT